TGAACGGACCAGCTTCAACACTGTGGTGCTGAACGGACCCGCTTCATCACTGTGGTGCTGAACGGACCAGCTTCAACACTGTGGTGCTGAACGGACCAGCTTCATCACTGTGGTGCTGAACGGACCAGCTTCAACACTGTGGTGCTGAACGGACCCGCTTCATCACTGTGGTAATGAACGGACCCGCTTCATCACTGTGGTAATGAACGGACCAGCTTCATCACTGTGGTAATGAACGGACCAGCTTCATCACTGTGGTGCTGAACGGACCAGCTTCAACACTGTGGTGCTGAATGGACCCGTTTCATCACTGTGGTAATGAACGGACCAGCTTCATCTCTGTGGTGCTGAACGGACCAGCTTCAACACTGTGGTGCTGAACGGACCAGCTTCATCACTGTGGTGCTGAACGGACCAGCTTCAACACTGTGGTGCTGAACGGACCCGCTTCATCACTGTGGTAATGAACGGACCAGCTTCATCACTGTGGTAATGAACGGACCAGCTTCATCACTGTGGTAATGAACGGACCAGCTTCATCACTGTGGTAATGAACGGACCAGCTTCATCACTGTGGTAATGAACGGACCAGCTTCATCACTGTGGTAATGAACGGACCAGCTTCATCACTCTGGTAATGAACGGACCAGCTTCATTACTCTGGTAATGAACGGACCAGCTTCATCACTGTGGTAATGAACTTACCAGCTTCATCACTGTGGTAATGAACGGACCAGCTTCATCACTCTGGTAATGAACGGACCAGCTTCATCACTGTGGTAATGAACGGACCAGCTTCGTCACTGTGGTAATGAACGGACCAGCTTCGTCACTGTGGTAATGAACGGACCAGCTTCATCACTGTGGTAATGAACGGACCAGCTTCATCACTGTGGTAATGAACGGACCAGCTTCATCACTGTGGTAATGAGCGGACCAGCTTCATCACTCTGGTAATGAACGGACCAGCTTCATTACTCTGGTAATGAACGGACCAGCTTCATCACTGTGGTAATGAACGGACCAGCTTCATCACTGTGGTAATGAACGGACCAGCTTCATCACTGTGGTAATGAACGGACCAGCTTCATCACTCTGGTAATGAACGGACCAGCTTCATTACTCTGGTAATGAACGGACCAGCTTCATCACTCTGGTAATGAACTGACCAGCTTCATCACTCTGGTAATGAACGGACCAGCTTCATCACTCTGGTAATGAACGGACCAGCTTCATCACTCTGGTAATGATCGGACCAGCTTCATCACTCTGGTAATGAACGGACCAGCTTCATTACTCTGGTAATGAACGGACCAGCTTCATCACTCTGGTAATGAAGGGACCAGCTTCATCACTCTGGTAATGAACGGACCAGCTTCATCACTCTGGTAATGAACGGACCAGCTTCATCACTCTGGTAATGATCGGACCAGCTTCATCACTCTGGTAATGAACGGACCAGCTTCATCACTCTGGTAATGAACGGACCAGCTTCATCACTCTGGTAATGATCGGACCAGCTTCATCACTCTTGTAATGAACGGACCAGCTTCATCACTCTGGTAATGATCGGACCAGCTTCATCACTCTGGTAATGAACGGACCAGCTTCATCACTCTGGTAATGAACGGACCAGCTTCATCACTCTGGTAATGAACGGACCAGTTTCATCACTCTGGTAATGATCGGACGGTATTCAATGGTATAATTTATGTGTCCTTGTTTGTGTGTGTGGTTGTTGTGTGGTGTGACAGCGTGCCCGTGTCGTGGCAGCCTGTGAGTGAGCAAGCACCTGTCTCGTTTATCACCTGTCCCATTAACTGTCCACTAAATTCATTATCTGCGGTGATAGAGAGCCTACCTGGCAGGTGGTAACGCTAATTATCTGCGGTGATAGAGAGCCTACCTGGCAGAAGGTAACGCTAATTATCTGCGGTGATAGTGTAACACTGTAAAAGTGTTTGGGTTAGTTTATTTAAAATATATATAGTACATGAGTCACAGACAAGGATCTGAGAGGCGCCAGTTGTCGGCCGGAGATCTCACACCTCTAACCGTTAATGACCCCAAGTGACCTGAGGTCAGATCATGAGAATTTCACCTTGCTTCCGCTAAGCGTATAATTGGAGCCGGGTAGCCTTCAAACATGCCGACGTTTAAGGAGTGGCTTGGTAGAGTGCCGGAGGCTATCTATTTGTGGGCGGAGTTAGCTACTAGGTTCCCCAATAAATACTCGAAGAACTATCGAGCAGAGGGCATTAACGAGACAGAACAGCAGACGAGAGCAGAGGAGACGGCCCTACCAGGGAGGCTGTCGGCCGGCAGGGCGGGAGTCTCTGTCAACTACAGACCCCCCCCCCCCCACTCTATTCAACTTAGACTCAGTCCTCGGTGAGTGAACATTAAGGTGACTTGTCGTGTTTTACAAGTGTTGTGTGACGATCAGGGGCAGTCAAGTTGTAGTGGTCTCAGATTCTTGGATGATGACTCACTTTGAATATTAATCGTTAACATTTTTAATTGGATTGCTTAAGTTATGATACTTATCATGAAAAATATAATTGTTGAATTTATTATTTAAATGGTCTTTCACTGTTTTCCCTAGAGAATTGAGTTGAGGTGAGAAAGCCTCTGTGGTTACTGTTTTCATGGTTTAGAATGAGTACATGATAAAGATGGGAACTACTAATAATGAACTCATGATAACATCTTTGGTGAATATTGTGATACAGACAAGTTCCATTCCTTGTCTTGTATGTAATGATCATGAATGGATGGTGGCAGCATTTCGTCTTCTACTATCTACTCTTCTACGTTTACTTTCTACTCTTCTCCTTCTACCTATCTACACCTCTCCTTCCCCCCCTCTCTGAACTCTCACTTTCAACTAATGACCCTCCTCGCTCCTCCCACCTCCCTACCTCTCACCCCAGACCCTCACTAATTACTTCACTATTCATTTCTTTCCTTTCGTTTTCTCATATACGTTTGTGGCAATGATTCAGTATTCTAGAGTTCTCTCTAGAGTTTCGGGTAGCTGATCCAGTTACGGCGCCTTGTGGTCTTAGCACCTAGGTAGTCAAATACCTAGGTTACAAGGTGTTGAACGAGAGAGGTTGCCTTAGGAACTCTGGGAGTGTTCTAGAATAGTTAGCTAACTGGGGACGGGATAACGGACTAGAGAGAGCTGTTTCCCCCGGCCTCGTTAGTTAACTGGGGGGTGGAATAATGGACAAGATAGAGCTATTTCCCCCAACCCCCGTTACAATAGAGAGCCTACCTGGCAGAAGGTAACGCTAATTATCTGCGGTGATAGAGAGCCTACCTGGCAGGTGGTAACGCTAATTATCTGCGGTGATAGAGAGCCTACCTGGCAGGTGGTAACGCTAATTATCTGCGGTGATAGAGAGCCTACCTGGCAGGAGGTAACGCTAATTATCTGCGGTGATAGAGAGCCTACCTGGCAGGTGGTAACGCTAATTATCTGCGGTGATAGAGAGCCTACCTGGCAGGTGGTAACGCTAATTATCTGCGGTGATAGAGAGCCTACCTGGCAGGTGGTAACGCTAATTATCTGCGGTGATAGAGAGCCTACCTGGCAGGTGGTAACGCTAATTATCTGCGGTGATAGAGAGCCTACCTGGCAGGAGGTAACGCTAATTATCTGCGGTGATAGAGAGCCTACCTGGCAGGAGGTAACGCTAATTATCTGCGGTGATAGAGAGCCTACCTGGCAGGTGGTAACGCTAATTATCTGTGGTGATAGAGAGCCTACCTGGCAGGAGGTAACGCTAATTATCTGCGGTGATAGAGAGCCTACCTGGCAGGAGGTAACGCTAATTATCTGCGGTGATAGAGAGCCTACCTGGCAGGAGGTAACGCTAATTATCTGCGGTGATAGAGAGCCTACCTGGCAGGAGGTAACGCTAATTATCTGCGGTGATAGAGAGCCTACCTGGCAGGAGGTAACGCTAATTATCTGCGGTGATAGAGAGCCTACCTGGCAGGAGGTAACGCTAATTATCTGCGGTGATAGAGAGCCTACCTGGCTGGAGGTAACGCTAATTAATTATCTTCTCTTGATTAATTCTCGTAATGGTGATCTGTGTTGTCCTTGAACCTTCGCCTCTTTCTTGGCAGTCTTTCTCCTGTGAGTAGTTGTTGGTGCTATTGGTTCCTTCTCTGTGAGTGCTGGGTTACCACATCCTTATTTCAACGATAGCAGAGTCACCATAAATAGCCAGATAACTCACCATTACTCACCATGGTACTCACTTTGCGGTACCAAAGCAAATGAAATGAAATTATAATTGTTTAATATATGAACGAATAGAGGAAAGGTGAGTTGATTTTAAAAGCTCCAATACCTGTTTATCCACTGATGTGTTCTTACCTTGAACGTCCTCCAGCACAACCTCTCTCTAACATGTGCCTACATTAGCACTAACAACACTACACCAGTACAGTACCAACACTAATCTCTGTAAGCACTATTACGCTACACAAAACCTCTCTGTAACCCCTGCTCTATTACTCAAATTACTCACCATTCGGCTCGACACTGGTTTAAGACGTGATAATCTCATGAATACTTTATAAGTGGATAAATTCATAACTATTTCAGGAATATTCTGTATTGGATTCTGAAATAGACAGCTCACAGACTCGGTCGTGTGCCGTCTGTCGTGTCAGGTAACGACATACAGAATTCACAGCATCAATCAAATTAATCTTAGTACGCACATTCAGACCAGGACTAAATAAAGCTTCAGGACGACTTGGACAGAATTTTAAAACGGACAGAACATTAACGGATGGACAGTTATGAGGACAAATGTTGGAGCTGACAGCTGGACAACGAGGAAATACGACATTTCTGAGTGAGAGATGAATTTAAAATTCAATGTTTTCATTTTCGAAATGTTGCTAATTGGACTCTAGTGATTATTTCTAGACGCTCTAGTAACTGGTTATCTAAAGGTTGCCATCAGCTGTACCTGTTATGTCAGGCCCCGATCATACAGTTCAGAATTAGAATCACCTGCCTTAAGGTGTTCAGAATTAGAATCACCTGCCTTAAAGTGTTCAGAATTAGAATCACCTGCCTTAAGGTGTTCAGAATTAGAATCACCTGCCTTAAGGTCCTCAGAATTAGAATCACCTACCTTAAGGTGCTCAGAATTAGAATCACCTGCCTTAAGGTGCTCAGAATTAGAATCACCTGCCTTAAGGTGCTCAGAATTAGAATCACCTGCCTTAAGGTCCTCAGAATTAGAATCACCTACCTTAAGGTGCTCAGAATTAGAATCACCTGCCTTAAGGTGCTCAGAATTAGAATCACCTGCCTTAAGGTGCTCAGAATTAGAATCACCTACCTTAAGGTGCTCAGAATTAGAATCACCTGCCTTAAGGTGCTCAGAATTAGAATCACCTGCCTTAAGGTGCTCAGAATTAGAATCACCTACCTTAAGGTGCTCAGAATTAGAATCACCTGCCTTAAGGTGCTCAGAATTAGAATCACCTACCTTAAGGTGCTCAGAATTAGAATCACCTGCCTTAAGGTGCTCAGAATTAGAATCACCTGCCTTAAGGTGATTCTTAAGGTGACTCAGCCTTTTGTGAACGTGAACGTTCACCAAAGTTAATGCGAACGTTCATGTTTAGGATATCCTCAAATAAGGATCTGAACATTAACGATATCCTTAGAGCAAGATATATTGTTTTCCGCTATCCTTAGAGCAAGATCTAGTATTTACTGCTATCCTTAGAGCAAACTCTACTCTTTTCCGCTATTCTTAGAGCAACACCTAGTCTTTACCGCTATCCTTAGAGCAACATATAGTCTTTTCTGCTATCCTCAGAGCAAGATCTCATCTTCCCTGCTATCCTCAGAGCAAGATCTGAAAGTTCACACTATCCTGAGAGCAGGAGCTAGGCAAGCGTTCACTCTATTCTCTGAGTGTGTTATCATCCAAACGTTTGTAAAGATATATTTATATTCTTTCTACGCCCGAGTCTAAAATCAATATCGAATCTCATTGACAACTTTCATACGAGTCTTGAGATAATTCAGTTATCACGTTATTTATACTCTAGCCAGAATGTGTATTTTATTTATTTGCTTATACTGTATTAATATCAAACTAATTTAGTACTATTTGTACTTTTTATCGTTTATAAAACCTTGTTTTACTTGGAGTATTTCTACTTCTGTCGTATTAAGCAGTTTCTATATTTACTATAAACAAGTCAGTTAAGCTTAAAATAAATGCATTATTACCTTGATTGTTTATTTACCTGATGCCTTCGTGATAACTTTGTGAGACCAGATTCAGTAAATACTTTACATTGACTTAGGCGAGAGAGAGACTGTTGCTTCAGTAACATCTTTGTAAAGTATTGTGGCTTTACCTAGAGCATTGATGCTGATCAATGTTGTTTCAGCATTAACCATTATATCCACATTGATTCACTGACAACATACACATTGAACAATGTCACTTCACTGACAACATACACATTCAAGAATACACATTAAAATGACAACAACTTCACTGACAACAACTTCGCTGACAACAACTTCGCTGACAACATTCGCATCAGTCAATTGATCTGCTCCGCCATCAACAGCTATTGAAGCTGCTCCAACTCTCGGATAACTCGCTGATTTATCAATGACGCGTGACTGACAAAACTCAGGTTACACGACATTGCACTTCCTCATAAACCAGCTAAAAACTCCAGGTCTTATAAAAAGCTTTAAAGGAGAAACATTTCTCGGGTCCAATACCCTATATTGGAAAATAGATAAAAGTCAAACAGCAGCTCGCAGTCTCCATCCACCAGAGTCAGCATCGATATGCAGCTAGCATAGGCCAGTAGAGCTTGGATCAATGTTTTGAGCCAACACAGAACGTTGAATTTCTTATACAGAATTATAAAAATATACACACGTCAATAATAATTCACTTATAATTCATCCTGATAAGTCACTAGCCCATGTTTGAAGCTGTCAGTGGAAACGTGCCTTGGTCACCTTCAGTCTGTTGTGTAAACACGCATCAACGTCACAGCTACGTAACTAAGTTGCCTATCCTAATCTTACTTGACCTAGCCTAACCTGACCAAACCTAATCTGACTTAACATAGCCTAATCTAACCTAACATAGCCTAATCTAACCTAACCTAGCCTAACATGACCTAACCTAGCCTAACCTGACCCAACCTAACCTGATCTAACCTAGCCTAACCTGACCTAGCCTAACATGACCTAATCTAATCTAACATAATCTAACTTAACCTGACCTAACCTAAACTTACCTAACCTAAACTTACCTAACCTAACCTACCCTAACCTAACATAATCTAACCTAACCTAACCTAATCTAATCTAACATAATCCAACTTAATCTAACTTAACCTAACTTATCCTGACCTAACCTAACCTAAACTTACCTAACCTAACCTACCCTAACTTAACATAATCTAACCTA